TCCTTGACTTTCAAATGTAATACTTTCCTCAGTCATAAACCACTGTGTGATACTTCAGTTTCTTGCACTTGCCAGGAAAAAAAGAAAAAACAAATCTTAAAGAAATGCATTGAGAAGCCTAAGATTTTTGGATTTTGGAGGGTGGGTAGTACTGAGTTTCCCTCAAGCAGGGAAGAGCTAGCAAATTTTCAAAACACAAGAAATGCTATCAAGAAAGTTTAGTCGCATGCTTCCCTCTAGCATTTAGCAAATCCAGCAAATCTTAATTTACTGAAGATGCATTTGTTGTCCAAAAACACCTGAAATGACATCGCTGTGATATCGTTTTCAAAAAGCATGAATTCTCAAAAGGCAGATGTACAAATGATAGTCAAATGGCACATGTGGTGTCTAAATTATCCTCACTCTTTCTAATGCCAGATCCTAGCTCCTTCTTTATGTAACAGGCCTTGAACTCATTTTTCCAGCTAGCTATCACTAATAGTTAAACTTGTTAATGGTTTATTAGAGAATCACTGTTGAAATAACTTATGTGCAATCTTACATGATCCTACTTGACCCTCAAGATGAAAAGTTTAAGTTATCTGGGGTATCAAAACAAGTCTGCCCATACACACAGTCTGGCAGTCACTGATACTAACCACAGTGCAGAAATAATACTGTATAAGTCTTCTGAACTACTTTCACGGGTAGTTTTCGGCCACTCGGGGTCACAGCTCTCCAGCAGCCTCAACACAGCTGTTGCTCCACGGCCTCTTGTTGTGTTCCAGCACTGGGGACACGCTCATTTGATGGGTATCTCCACTACTTCACCACCGCACAAGCTGCAACTGTAGCCTGAACTGCAGATCTGAGATGTGTTCCCCATATTCTCCTTTTCCTCACTTCCATTGCCTCCCTTCTTCCCACATAACGGCTACACACACCAAACTCAACACAACTCCGCTACCCAATCACCAGAGCCTTAAGCACAACATTTTTGGTGAAAAGAGGCGTGTTCGTCTGCTACTTTGACCCCCAATAGCGACTCCCCAGTGAGGAAAGCCAAAACGCTGCTGAGGAAGCACGGCTCAACGAGCAGGAGAGTACAGTATGATACCTGCTTGCACCTGTGCTATTGTATACAATGATTATCGTTACGCGAGGTTGCGGTTTGACCAGATTTGGGATTAAAAGCCCCTACTTGGGCATAAAAAACTCTCAGGAGCGATGGCGCACCCGTACCTTAACCAGCGCGCATGCGCATGCGCACCCCCCCC